GCTTGAATGTTTAAATTGGCAAGACTTAGAAACACGTGCAAATGATCATACGATCCGTTTCACCCCTACAAGTGAGTGAACAGCGCAAATCAAGGAAGGGATTTTATTTCACTATTCAAAATAGCCAGTCTGGCAGGGCGGTGATGCATTTTGGAAGTAAAACACAATAGCCCTGGGACGTCGGGCTAGCGATTTTGCAAGCCCTGCGTTAAGTTTCGTTCAACCCTAAAATACAACACAGTACAATGCGTTATTTAAAATCTGGGGAAAATTCCTGTGAATTCAAAAATTAATACAGAAAATTCCTTCAATTAGCACAGTGGACCCTGTTTTCATGTACTTTTTTTAGAGTCTACATACACAAAATGTTACAGGCAGACGGCCTGAGAAGTGTTCTAATTGGATTAGGAATGTAAAGGCTGGGACAAAGTTATTGCATCACACACTGAGCCGATCACTGAGCCATTTACACACATGTAAACATACAACACTATGGACAGACCAGTACACACACACACTCCACACTTACCTTAGAGTCAGATGATACTGTGTTTCAACATTAAAAAGAAGAACTTTTCTGTGGACTGCATCATCAATTCTTCACTGCATTCATTTGATCATTTGAGTCTACTCATCAATCTAAAGGACTTTCAGATTCCTCACTCTGTTAGTTTAACAGCTAACATTAAATAAACTCCTTTATTTCATTTGCTAGCTCAGAAAAACTATATGCAGTGTGAGGAATTTTGAAGTTTTTGTCCAATCCATTTGCACTGCATCTATGTGGATGTTTTGGACCTGGACTTTTGCAGGTTAATATGAGCAGAGAGAAAGATTCAGAAGTCTTGTTTCACCTATAATGAATTCCAGAATGTGTAGGCGCTTTATTTTCTTCTTGATCCAATGGTCCTCTGCATCAGGACATGCTGCCATGATGGAACTCCAAAGGGTCCTCGGCTCTGTCAAAGTGACACATATAATGTTATCTGATGTTTTTTAAACATTCATTCCTTATCTCGCTATGAGAAGTGAATCTCGCGTGACTGACGATAGAAGTTGAGTCGCAGTAGTACAGCCGTTACATCATTCTCATTGCCTTCTCAACATGAATATAAATTAACAATTTATAGATGAGGTGTCATGGTAACACTGCTACACATAATTTTGTCTGTGCAGTGAGCAGAGTCAATTTTGTGTACAGCGAGGAGTGTTTTTTTCTTCTGTGGTTTGGATTGCTCAAAGCAGGGTTTCTCTCATTGGTGAATGAGTGGGAAAATGAAAACCTGGAGTGGAGCTGGAGCGGAGTGATTACAAAAATGCCTTGAGTTGGGAGGGAAAATTGGTGTTTCTGTGGTGAGTTACACCCAAGCGACAACCTTCCAGTCTGTCTCTTGAAACCAACACGGAAGTGACTTAAACTGCAATTCATCGACTGGCTGCTAGAGACCGACTCCAAAAGGAAGTCATTCCCGTAGACTATAGACCTGCGCGGGACGGATTTT